GTCTCAATAGATGGAGGGCAAAAGAGAAAAAGTGCAGGGCGAGGATATAGCTCAGTAGTAGTGTGCGTGCTTAGCATTGCGAGGTCCTGGGTTCAATCCCCAATGCCTCCATTAAATAAAATAAATAAACCTACTTACCTCCACAAGCAAGAGGACAAAACTTTAAATGAAAGAGAAAAAAATGCTAAAACGTGATTAACTTCAAAATATGAGTATCCACATGTTTTTATTTGAGTATAACAAAAGTCTTACATTTGAGCCTTTTTGCAGGCTGCCTCTTCTCCCCCTAGGCCCTGCAAAAAGACAGACAGACAGACCAAGAGAGACTGTGGCACTGAGACTCAGTCAAAGACAGGTGGAGATGAGAGGCAGAATTTAGAGTGAGAGGTGGCAGGAGGAGACAAGCAGAGACATATCCCATGGTGACTGCATGTCCTCCTTGTCCTAGCCTGGGCCTGTCTCCAGATGCTTCTACAAACCAGTCCTTCTTCCAGACTCAGCCTGCACCTGTCATGCTTCCACCAGACCCCCAGCCCTAAACCAGGACTGGGTCTGACTCCCCTTCCCCGCTCTACACATCAACAGCCCTGGTCCCCAGCAATCAGGGCAGATGGCTGCTGGCTCCCCTCCCACTTCCACACACCCTGAAACTGCACTATATAGCACAGGGGCCAGTCCATAGTGGGTGCAAGGAAAAGTGGGAAGGCAAGACTGGAAAAGAAGGGGAACTGAGTGGACGGAACTAGTGAGAGGAGTTTACCCCGCACACTGAAGTGGGGCTTCACAGAAGCCTGGGGGCATGGGGGTCCATAGGAAATGAACAACAAGCAGGGGCCCCTCAAGAGCATCTGAACCACCACCTGCGTTCTCCAGATGGGCGACTGAGGCCCAGAGAAGGGAAGGCACTGCCCAGAGGTAGAGAATGCTAGAACCCCCAGGGCCAGCCTGTGCCGGTCCTCCCAGACCTCCCTGGGCCTGTTTCCCCTCTGCATAATACTGTGTGATGCTAATCTCTACTCTGCTTGTTTTCCAGGTCTGTTACAAGGAAAAAATGAACAAGACAGAGAAGACTTTGTCAACTTCTAAGCACTGTGCTGTGAGCATCAGTAATGGACAGAGCCTAGACAGTCTTTGCTCAGGGTTTGGGGCTCAGACAACAGTGGGCCTCAGCTGCAGGGGCTCAGAGCTCTGTGGGCCCAGAGAAGAGTGTGGGGGCTGGGCCATGGAGTCAGGTGGGCTTGAGCTGGGACCAGCTCTAGACTGACCTGCCCCAGACCCTGAATCAGCTCCTGGGAAGGGGTCAGGCAGCAAAATGCTGACCCTAGCCAATTCATGAGGTCAGAGCAGGGTGTTCTAGGCTCATGAGCATGTTGGCTTGGCCCTTTTCTGGAAGTCCACGGTCCCCTTCTCTGTTCCTGGCCCAGGAGGGGTCTGGTCTCTCAGTAATGCCCCAGCTGCCTCTTAGAGCCCAGATGCTCCCCAGGTCCCAGCCCAGGCTGGAGTCTCACTCTGTCCTGGGGAATGGCTTCTCCTTTTTTCGTGATTGTGTCCTGAAGTAGAACAGGAGGAAGTAGGAAGCTGGTTGCTTCTTGCCCCATCTGAGCCCTCAGCTCATCTCCCAGATCCTCCCCAGTACCAGCACCCACTGCAGATTTGGAAGAGGAGGAGAGGAATCACCCCGTGTCAGTCCCAGGCCCTTGGCTCGCATGGCCGTTAGCCACACTGAGTGAATAAGTGGTCCCCTATTGTCCCTTAGGCAGGCACCTGGAGGCCTCAGTATATCCACCATCTGATGGAGCATGAGCGGCCCTGCCTCAGGGGAGAGCTTATTTCATTCTCGAAGCCCTTTGTCAGTCCTTAGCTCGGCTGCTCCCCACCACAGCCTGGAAGAGTTCTGCTGCACAACTGGGGAAGCAATGCCCCAAGAGCTGAGGAGTGAGTTGCCCAAGGGCAGAGTGTTGGAGCCGGGAGGAGGCCAACTCCAAGATCAGAGGTTGCCTGTGTCAAACCTTCTTGCTGTCATCAGGGAGCTGGTACTTGGGACAAGGTGGGGAGGGCAAGCGAGATAAGCCTTAGACAGATAACAAGGCAAGACAGAAACGGAGGAGTTACCCAGGGGGCTGTGGAACAGGGGGCAGGGGAGATGGTCTCTGCCTGGGGATTAGCCTGGAGACAACTGCATTTGAGGAGCAGAGACACAAAGATGTGGAGAGGAGATTCCAGAGGGGTGGGTGAGCCAAAACTAGCCCAGAGCTGGGAGAGGCCAGGACACCTTCAAGGAAAGGCCATGAGCTGAAAGGTTGGCAGGGGAAGGGGAGGGGGTATGACAATCACAGAGGGTCCTAAAGGCCAGGCTGAGGGCTAACATTGTTGGATAGCACTCGGGAGCCATTGATTGTGCTATCCCCCATCCCCAGGCTCCTGGACTGAGAACCAGCTTCCTTCACTCTTGTTACACCTTCTACCCTCTTCGGAAAATCAGATGTCATCACTACCTCTTGCCTAAGCCAGAGAAAATTCCACCTTCCCCACAGGCTCATCTGTGAAGTCATTTCTACCGGTACTGACTTCAGTGGCATCAGGAGGAGGGACAGTCCCTGGGCTGAGCCATGAATTGACACATGCCCAGCCCTCAAGGACTCCCAGCCCAGGTGAGATGGGGCAGGTGTCACCACCTGGCTCCGAGACTATTTATAGACTCTGTGTCATCCTCAGAAACAGCAGTTTCTCTCTGCTCGCCGGAGTGGCTTCTTATCCTGGGTGTTAATGGTTTTCATCACCCAGGGATTTTGTAACACCATCTTTAGGTCTTGCAGAGCCAAAGAACAGTCAGGTCATACTGACATCCAGGGGTTGCAAACTCAGATACCTGTGGGGGCCAGGCAGTGACACACCAGAGTGAAGCATGCCAGGCAAGGCCATAGGAAGTGAGTGGAGGCTGCACTGCATCCAAATGCCCCAGTTAAAGGGACAGCTACTGCCCAGGTCAGCCAGTTGTTGTATGTGGATTGTGAGTCCTGTGCAGCCAGATCTCATTATATAATAACAACTGAAAACTTTCGATTCTGTGGTAACTTCCCAACTTTTTAATGTTGGGAACTCATCTTAAAATAAAATTAAACACTGAATGAGCCACAGCAACATGGCAACAACCTAGCTGGGGCCTCTTGGGCCAGCAATTTACAAGCTCTGATCACCACTGTTTAAATGAGAGAACTGAAGCTCAGAGAAGGAGAGGAACAGGTCACACAGCTGGGAAGTCCTGGAACTGTGGTCAAAGCCCTCTCTTCACTCTTGCCAGGGCCTTTTCAGAGCACCCACTAAATGCTGGTCCTGAGATTTGGCCTGGGGACACAGAAGGACAAAGATGGGGACAGGCAGCTACAGGGCGGGCAGTGTGATTATCACTACCTCCTGCCTCTCCCAGGTGGCCCATGTGCACAGCAGGGGGAGTGTTGTGGTTGTCGGAGCGTAAGAAGTTACAGTGGTCCTGGAGAGCCTTCCAGGAGGGGGCTGAGAGTGAAGGTGGCCCTGCTGGGGGCACGGGGTGGGGTTTTCATGTATGATCAACGCCAGCGTCAGTCAGTGGGACAATGGACCTCAGGCTGAAGCGGGCCTTGGACTTCACCTCTTTTGGTTCCATCTAGGGGACTGGGCTCCAGGACAGCATCCGTGGTGGGCAGCTGACAGGAAGCCTGATAGAGATGTTCCTAGGTGAGAGCTCAGAAAGGGAGCCAGACCCTGCTAACGGGCCACTGTGATCGCTGCTCTCTGGGGGTTTCCCCCGCGTTCCCAGGCTTCACAGAGTCAGTATGAACACATCAGCCTCCCTCTGCTGCTTCCAGGAACCAGGGGTGGGTCTGGTCTCAAGCTAGGTGTCACCTGTGCAATCCAGGATGCTACGGGCCCCAGGAGAGCAGCCAGCAGGGCAGGGCAGGGCAGGGCTCACCTCTACCCCCAGCCCCAGCTACCTGGACACAGAATGGAGCAGAGGAAGCTCGATTCTGAGTGCACCTGCCGTTCACTGCGGTCTGGGTGGCCCTGGGGGCTGAGGAAGTCTTCCTGAGAAGCTGCCATCATCGGAGTTTGGAAGGATGGTGGAGGCAGGCTCTGGGGGAACACTGACTGTCAACAAGGGCCAGCCCTCGTTGACATCCACTCATCTGTTTTTTGTTTTATTTTAGAGGGGGCGGGAGGGGGCGGGAGGGGGCGGAGACGGGTAAGTAGTTAGGTTTATTTATTTATATTTAGAGGAGGTACTGGGGATTGAACCTAGGACCTTGTGAATGCTAAGCATGTGCTCTCCCATTTGAGCTATACCCTCCCCCCCCAACCATCCATTCATTCATTCTACAGCTGTTAGCTGTGCCCTTGCTGGTGCCTGACACTTTTCCAGGTGTTAGGAATATGGTGGTCATTAGACAAAAAAGTAAACACGTTCTCATGGGCAAGAGAGAGAACAGAATTTTTTTTTTAAAAAAAAGGAAAGAAAGAAAAGAAAGACAATTTCAGATAATGGTATGTGCTGCACACCAGTGAGGCCAGGTGACATGCCTTAGAGGCGGGGCTTTTTTGGGAGAAGGCTCAGTGTGGTCTGACCAAGGAGGAAAAAACCTTGGACCACAACAAGTGCAGCTGTGTGAGCTCAGGGAGGCCGTTTGGGGCTTCTCTGAGCCTCAGTTTCCTCATCTATAAAGAGGGTTTAATAATGTCTGTGTCACAGAATTGTTCACGTTAAGGAAAATGCCACGGTGAAGGGCCTTGAACATGAAGGCCTCTGTGAATGTATGAAATGAATGAATGAATGAATGCACATCACCTAGCCCAGGCCAGCTGAGGAGGCAGAGTCAGGGTGGGAAGGAGGGTGATTTTGAGTGAATGATCTGCGCCCTAAGGCGCACCTCTGTGTGTGGATTTTTACTGCTGTTCACCCAAGACTCCCTTTAATTATATAATAGTGCCATCCTCACACCAACTCGTGTGTCGTGTTTGGAGGCTTCTTTAAGCATCTTCACAGCCACCGCGTCTTTTGATTCACAGAACAGCCTATCTCACTTGATAGAGGAGGAGGCCCGGGGTCTAAGTAGGGAAGTGGTAGGCAGCCCAAGGCCACACAGACGAGCCAGCCCTTGAGCCAGGGGCCTTGGGTGTGGGCTGTCTCCACTCTGTACAATGGTTATGATGGTGCCCTTCCCCATGCCCACCCCCACCGAGGCAGGCGGTCTCGAAGACGGACCCCAGTGACGCTCTGGTAGTCACGGCCTGGTATCAGCTCCTTGCCTTGGCTGTGGGCTGGGCCTGCTGACTCCCTCCCAGTGAGCAGAATATGGAACAGGGACGGGATGCCGCTTCCAAGTTAGGCGACAAAGAGACTGTGGTTTCTGCCTCGGGCTTGCTCTCTCCCTCTCTCCCCCTCTCCTCACCGCTGCCCTGTTAACACACTCAGGCAGCCTGCGGAGGCCCCTAGCAACTCCGGGAGGGGTCTGGACGTGGCTCCTCTGCAGCTGGCCGACAGTCATGTGAACGAGCTTGGAAGTGGATCCTGCAGGTCCGGGAGAGCCTTGGGTGACTGCCGCCCCGGCTGGCACCTTGCTGCAACCTCCTGAGAGACCTCGAGCCAGGCGACCTGGCTAAACCATGCCTGGACACCTGCCCCCCAGAAGCCCTGAGATAATAAATGCTTGTTGCTTTAAGCCCCTCAGTGCTGGGTCATGCGCTACACAGAAAGGCAACTAGCAGATACTACCCATAGCACCCTGCGCCCCGCCAGGGCCCTTTAAAGCCCAGCTCCGATCCCCTTGCTCCACACACAGCCCAGCACTGACCTGCCATCTCAGCAGGCTTGCGTCACCAGCCACTCTTGGCAAAGAGTGGGGACAGTCGGGGACAAGCGGCCCTGAGAGACAGGCCTGATGTGTGTTGGTGGAGACGTGGACTGGGCTGCTATTTTTGTCTCATTCCTCTGAAGGTGAATACTTGAAGCCTGAGAGAGAGAGAGGGAGCTGGCAGGAAGCCCTCAGTGAGAGGGCCTGAGCTGGGTTTTGGCCTTGGCATCCCAACGTCCCTGGGGAGGGATGGTACCTCACTTACTGACTCCATGCTGGGCTCTGCACTAAGCACTTCCTAGACGTCGCCCCGATCATCAGGAGGACCCTGCAAAACAGAGGTTACCCCTGTCATACAAACTAAGGAAGGGGTGCCCAGAGAGAGGTGCCCAAGTGGTTTCTCCAAGGTCACACTAGTGTAAAGTGGCGGCTGGAATTCTTCCCAGTTCCCTTTGGCTGTGTGTCTTCCTTCAGGAGTGGGTGGGCTCCAAGTGGTACCTCTTAGGTAGATTATGCCAGATACCACCCCCACCCCCAGCCTTCATTCCAGCTAGCTGGACACCATGCTTGATGACTAGTCCTTGTGACAACTCTGCAAGGGAGAGACTTCTGTCCCCATGCAGTGATGACAGCTTCAGGCCTGAGAGGGAGCCAGTGACTTGCACAAGGCCACACAGATACCAGGTGGCTGAGCAGGATTTGACCCCAGGTCTGGCTGACTCCAAAGCTTGCACTGTTCCCCCACTGGCTGTGCCTTCTTGCCCTAGAGATGCCACCACTGGCTTCCAGCCCTGCAGGAATGGTGTCCACTAGCACAAGTGAGTAACACATAAACACACAGCATTGAGTTTATTCACGCAGGCCCTGCCCAGAGTCAACAGGAAAAGAGCCACCGGCAGGACTCAAGAGCCTCCCAAGCAAGCCCAGGTGAACCTTTGTGCATGCCTCCCCCCACCTATGTGGACCAGCCCTGACTGGCATCCTCCCTGCCAGGTTCCCTAAAAGTGGGGCTTGAGTCTTTGCCAAGATTAAGACGCTGTTTGGGCAGATGTCATCTGAGCTCCGGGCTCTCTGCCCTGCGACTGCAGGGAGGCAGAGAGCCTGCAATTCTGCAGTCCCCTTTCCCTTTTTTGGTCTTTTTTCTCCTGTTGACCTGTGTAATTTTCTTGATTCTCTTAGCTCGACCCTCAGTCTCTACTTAGTCATATCGATACCTCTCCCTTCTCCATTTGAATAAATCCCCTTTGAATCAACATTACTTACCCTCTACATAATCGAGATTGCCCACCACTGATGGCAAGCGTTGGGTTTTTATTCCAATGAAAATAAGCACTAGAAAAAAAAAAAAAAAAGAAAAGAAGCACTAGAGATAAGAATAGTTGTCATTTCTTGCACATTTAATAAACTGCACGTGGTAAGAATTTACATTATTTAATACCCACAAGGTCCTTAAGAATAGGTGCTAGTGTTCACTGCTCTTTAAAAATGAGGTCTCTGAGCCCAGCAGAGGTTATGTAAGCTGTCTGAGGTTATAGGGCCTTCCCCCTCGTTAAGTGAAGTGGCCGAGCAGCCGGCTTTTGGCCCGGCTCAACCTAATCCCAGAACTAATCTCCACTGTCGTTGAATTTTAGCACAGAAGGTCAGCAGGTACAGGTCGGGCTGGGAGAGGCCTCAAATTATGAAACAGAGATCTCATTTGTTAGATGAGCAGAGGCTCAGAAAATTGATCGACTTACATGCTGTGTTCCTATGACAGCGTGTCAGCACCTCGGGCCCTGGTGCTGGGCTGGCCTGAGCACACGGGGAGGTCATGGCGTCGGCCGCAGCTCTGGGTGGACAGGCGGCAAATTCAGCAGAAGGTGCAGCCGGGAAGGGAGCAGGGAACGCTGGGCATCAAGGGGCAGCTCTAGAAAGGCTATTCACTTGAGAAGGGGGTCGACGGGAGGCCATCTCCAGAGTGACGACGACTCTCACGGGCAGAGGACACTGTGGGGCTCCCCAGGCCTCACGCTGGACCAACGGGACCCGGGTTTGGGCTTATTTAGACAAGAAAGCGTTCTATCAGTCAGTGATATCACAAAACGATACTTTGAAGTAGTGAATTCCCCATGACTGGAGAGATGCCACAGGATGAGTGATGGGACCAGGTAACCTGTGAGGCTCCTTTCCTTTCTGAGACTCTGTAAGTCAGTCCCCAAAGGTGGAGGCAACTTGGGAGAGCGAAAAAAGAGCAGAGCACAACCTCAAATTCCTTGACTGGCAGGTTCTTTGAGGGACATGCAACATGAAATCGTAACAACCAGACGAGAATCCTAGCACATGGTTACTGGTTTCAAAATGGTCAAAGGTTTTGAAGCATAGAAGCAAGTGGTAGGAACTGTAAAGAAAAGTACATCACTCCTTAGCGGCATGCGCACTGTGGACGTCAGCGCTGCCAGTCCCATCAGGCACCGCGGCTGGTCGGTCGGACTACTGCTTACTGGCCGGCCCTGCCCCTGCCCTTGCCCTGCAAGCAACTTTGTAGGAGGCCTTGTTTGCTGAGGCCCCCCAGTCCCGCCTGGCGCCAGCCTGGCCTGCTCAGCTGAGCCCCTCCCCAGGGCTGTCCCCACAAGCCGTCTCCTCCAACAAAGGGCCAGTGTCTCTGGGAGGGCAGGTGCTGTGCAGGAAGGATGGCAGCCAGGCCTGCAGGGCTTCTGGGCGGTCAGATCACAGAGGAGTGACCAGGCCCTGGCTGGCTGGGGTCAGGGCCGGCAGGCTCGTCATTGTTTTTGTTGGTTTTGAACCACTGCCCCAGAAAGAGGTCAGGGAGGGAGGCAGGCGGGCAGAGGCTCAGGCTGGGGAGGTGAGGTGTGTTTGCCAAGTCGGTGGCTAGAGGCTAAATGAGGGTCCCCCAGGATGGGTGCAAATTCTCTACCCTTCCCACCGCTGGCCCCTCCCCAGGCTCCACCTCAAGCCCCAGGCCCCAGCTTAACCTGAGACGAGCAATGGAGAGCTGGAGTCCATCCCCTGCAGCTAGGAAGGAGGCCACCCTTTGGCACAGTAGCTGGTACCCCCACCACCAGCCCCGGTTTCCCTCTTGGCCAGCTCCACCAGATTATTGAAACTGCTACTCAGGCCCACTGCCCACCTCTCTGCTGCCAGGTTTGACCACCTGCTGGTCCCACAGGGTGAGCCTTCAAATATCCACAGTTGGCCAGTCAGCCCTGGGAAAGTTGCATCACCACCCCCTACCTCCAATAAGAGGACACTTCT